TTTTATTATTTTTTTTTTTTTTTATTATTTACATGTAAGCTTCATGGACAGCATTTGTACCAATCCAAAGACTAATTGTAACCACAATACTGTACACATATTGAATGGTAGTATCAAACTTGTTCATACCGTTTAAAATAAGACCAGTATCTACTGTATTTAGGCTAATTCCTGAGCTATATTGTATACTTCGGTGTGTTACTTCCCAAATATTGTATTTAAGAGCCATAAAATAGCTGTTTTTGTATGTGTCACAAATGCCAAGTGATAAGCCTATGAACTATGTTGGACTAAAGTTGTTCATGCATGGCCAAGTCTTTTATGCAGCTTATTAAAATACATGCTTGTTGTACAAATGATGTGCCATGAAAAGAAGCAATAAACTCCTGCAGGCCAATGTTTTTTCATGTTTTGAATGATTGAAATTATAGTTAACCTGTGCTGGGGCAAAGCATGGCTTCAAGTTAATGACCAACCCACCAGCTGCATACTTACTTATCTGTTCTTTACCCACAGATCTGTTTGACTACTGAAAGCAATGAGAAGAAAACTTGTGTAAGCCACAACTTGGAGCTTACACAGGGCTGAGGACTTTATTCTCACCTCCATGTTACAGAGCTGGGTGCCAGAGCCATGAATTGCCTAGCACCAGAACTGTCACATAGATTAAAGTGAAGTCTGTCACATGCACTCTATATCCAGAAGTACGAAGAATTTATCTTTGCTTCCAGTGGTCAAAGAAAATGTAAGGAAAGCAAATGGAAGGAAAATATATACTGCTGGCGAAGCTACCATTAAAGTAAATTTGGCACTTGGGTTGATTTTAAGAGACCATGCCAAAAAGTTTTTTAAAATTGTAGTATTTTAGTAAAAAATTAAATATTTTAAATACTCACTTGCAGTATTTTTGTTTTTTCTTTCCATTAATGATCTTTTATGAATATTTACTTATGAAAATATGAACAATTTATTTGTAATGTGACAGGGAAGGCACCTACACCAGGAAAAATTGATTCCCTAGCACAGCCATAGTTACTCTCTCCTTCCCTGTATGTCATTGCCCTCCCCTCTTCTGGGAGTGTCTAATTACTGTCTGTGCTGGCCCAGTTCCTTTGCCCCTCCCTCACTTCCCCACATATCCTTTTATTTAGCTGCCGGGGGAGGAGTAAAGAGGAATACTATAGTATAGTCACTTGATTGTGAGCTCTGAGTGTGCTGGGAATGCTGACTTTCCATCTATAATGGTTGTACCCAGCAGTAGTCTCAGGACTTTTGGATGTCTCCTGAAGGAAGGCTTTTACAAGTTAAAAAAAATGCATAAATTATGTTAAATGCACTTTTAATTTTATGGGTAGATTGTTGTTGAAATAAATAGTCTGGTGATAGGGTCTCTTTAAGTATGCTTTGCAACTGCAGAACCTAGCAGGTTTAACCTGAGCTGAAATGATGCACCTATAACACTGCACTAATATGTGTTCAGTGATACTAAAATCTGATTATTTACGCTGTCCCACAGTCAACTTACATTAAAGACTTCACTTTGACTGATGTGAGAACTATGTATTATGTACACAGAAGGGCTGGCTTCTGCCTGAGTTTAAAAAAAGCTCTGACATAATCGGATTGAGGGGGACCACCAAAGGGAGAGTGCTAACATTTAGTCACAGAAAACAGAATTTTTGCCATTGTAGCTGCCTTGGCTAAAGTGTAAAAACATAATAATATAAAACATAAATCTGCCACTCTATAGGCAGCCACATACCAATGGCTTTAACAGCCTTAGGCTGTTGGGGTGATCTGAAGATTGATGATTCCTTCTGCAATGCTACACATTTTTGTTGTTTGGGAACACTTTCAAATTATTTATACCTGATGATATAACTGTTATCACATGATATGCTGAATAGTAATCCCAGATATGGCTAAAACCATCAACTGGTCTATTTTTAAGCAAGTACTAGTGGACCATTTTAAAAGATCTCATCATTGAAAATATGGCAACTGCTGTTGTTCAGGCAATCCGAGGTCACAAATTGCTACAAATTGCTTACCTGAAAACTGCCTAATCTCATATGTAGTTGGTTTACTAAAGTAGCACAACGTGTTAACTTTGCAAAGTGAATGTTTACTTAGCAAAGTGGATTACCACTTAGTTTAGTGGATGGGGTGAAGCTGTGTTGACTTCAATCATCCTAATCAAGTAAAAATCCTGTTTTTAAAATGTCCCTTGTGCATGATTGGGGATTCAAAGTGAATGCAGCATGATCGCATTCACTGATCTAAGTGAAAATGTACTTTTTAAAGTTAAAACTTACTTTTGTAAAGTGAACATGCTCTGCTTCATTTTTAAATCAACCCCACTCTCTCAAGAAGAGCAGGTTTGGGGGACCAGTCTCGCAACTGATACTGGCGATAAGGGAGACGCCCATATCATGGATTAAAGGAAAACTATGGGGTTAGGGCTTTTCCCCATAGTTCTCCGAAGGGTAATGGGAGGCCACAAACTAGCGTCCTCCCATTACCCAAAGCTCAGCTCGCGGTATACTAAGACGCCGCAGCCGAAACGGATCCCAACAATTATGTCTGGATCCGCCCAGCTGCGTGAGTGACAGCTGGCTCTGCCTATCTAGAGGCAGAGCCAGCTGTACCCGCCCCCCCGTCCGTTCCGCCAGTCAGCGCTGGAGGATCGGACAGGGGAGGGGAGAATCCAGTCAATCCCCTGTCACGGCTCTCTGCAGTGACAGGATCGAGAAGTGAGCGAGGGCCAGGTATGTGTTCGCTCACTTCCCGATCTACTGAGCCGACCTGTGACAGTTTCATTGTCACAGGTTGGCTCAGATTATGAGGTGAGTGAAAAGCACTCACCTCATAATTCTCCTTTAAGGTAAATATTCCTCTATTAGATCATTCCCTAGAAAAACGAACATTATATTTTGCATCGCATTGGAAGTTTACAATGTGAAATATTGTATTTAGCCCCTAAATTAACTAAACTATAACTATAATTACTTCCCACAATGACAATTATTTTCAGCAAAGACAGCCAATAAGAAACTACAAATAACAGTTGATGCACATTCACAGTTTAAGTAAATAAAAATTGAATATTCATATTCTTTAAAATGTCCAGTTGTGACCTGTTCTCTTTAAGCAACACAGAAGCTTGACCTGTTTGCTGTCGGGCAACAATGTCTCCAAAAAACACAACAATAGATCTCTTCTCTATGCTTTATCTTCCTCTCAGTTACTCTATTGATCCACTCTCTGACCCAGAGGCTCTCTTTTCTATTGACCCTGAAGATGGAACTATCAGAACAAGCATTTCCTTGGACCGAGAGATCAAGAAAGAGCACAGTATCACTGTAACGGCTACTGAGAACGGTGAGCGAGATCATTTATAAACTTATCCAGTTTTAGAGGGGAAAGAAGGATCTTGTTGGAAGATTTCATAGCAACAGCAATTTTTTTTAGAATAACATTCCATAAATTGGGGCTTAATTCTGTTAATCTGTACATTTGGCAAACAAGCCAAACATATGATGTCATTAGCCATGTAAATGTTGTCAAAATGACTAGCCAGTTTACTATGCAGTTATGCCTCCGCTACCTGGCCATATTTTCAAGTGATGCAACCAGTCGAAGCATTGCTGATGATAATCATACAAAGTATGGGTATATAGCTGGTTCCAAATATTTACAAACAATTAGGGTCATGACCCTTGCCTACAAAAAATGAACATTCATTTCCATATGGATGTGCCACAGGGAAACATCTCCTAAGCCAAGGAGAAAGGTTGAGGTTGTGCATGCATGTCTCTGATCAGGTTGAGGTCAGTCAGTTCTTTTTGCTAGTCAGCCCTAGTTGATGTGTCCCCTGTTTGAGATTTAAATTTTCATAGCCAAATAAAGAAAAGTATCAAGCTACATATGCATATTTTGTTTGTACATGTCTTCAAACTCACAAACTGACACATTTCTCCTTTTGTGTTGTTTATTTATATATCATGTGTTGTTTTATGAATTTCTGTTGTGTGTTTTGTTTTGTCTTGGTGTTGTTGTTGTTTTCTTTTCTTTTTTTCTCTTTGTTGTGTCTCTGTGTTGTGTTTTTGTTTCAGACAGCCCCTCCCAGGTGTCACAAGTTGGCATTGTGATCCAGGTGTTAGACGTCAATGACAATCCTCCGACACTTGCTGAAGTATATAAGCCACACGTGTGTGATAATGCACAACCTGGACAGGTATGTTCAGTTTCTCATGTAAAAAAGAAAAGAGTAATGGTAATATTATTTAAAACTTGCCTAAAAGAAAAATCAATAACAAATCATGTGCATTAAAGTCAAATTTGACATTCTCAATAACATTAAATAAAGAAGAGTCCAGGAGGAAGACAATAGGTCTCAAGTGCTGAGATCTGACCAATAGAGTCCCCAAGTCTCTCCATCATCTACCAGAACTGAAATGTTACTTTAGCAATGATTGATCCTCTAAGGCCCCTTTCATATGGATGCCTGTCACTTCAGATCAGTAGGGAATCTGTGCATGGATCCCCTGCTAATTTTAGCAGTACCGATCGGATGTCACTGTTGTGACATCTGTGCCCATCCATTTTCTTCCTTCATCTTAATATGAAGGAATAACTAAAGTTAACCGACCCATGTTACGTCTATGGGGAGTCAGATGTAAATGGACATGCATCTATTTACATCAGATTGCCCCCGCTCTGCCACGATCAGGTCAGCCAAAACGTAACTCTGTTCCCTTAGTTTTTCTGGACCTGGACGGACTTAGTAATTGGATGTAAATCGATGTAACATTGGGCTTCCAGTCAGATCTACCTGAAAAACTGACAGACGGACCTTTATCAGGCTGTCTGTCTGAAAAGGGCCTAAAACAGAAAAACTGCACAATCTGCTTCAGTTAAACCCTCCATCTGCCTAGTTCATTTTTGACTACTTGCATCCAATCCTTGGGTGAGTGAGGGACTATAGGAACCAAAATTATTAGACGTTGAAGAGAGGACACACAGCCTTTATCTTGAAAATATATATATTTTTTTTTAATAAAACCTCCAGCCCAAAATGATTTTTTTTTAGTTTTGGATATTTGGACATTGTTGTTGTCATAATGACTTTGTCACTGGCTTAGAAGGTGAGGGTAAATGTTACAGTTGTCACCATGAAGCAAAAGGGATATTTTCTACTCAAGACAACTATTCAGGTGATCGCTGTCAGGAGGGATTTGCCATCACTTAGAGGACAGTTCTAACCTTCTCACACCAAATGTGAAATGAAGAATAAATGGCATCTCAGTGCACCAACACACATATAGCAACAGTGTGAATCTGACCTTAACCTCTGAATCTCAATGGTATAATACAGCACAGTATATGTTTTACCTTAACCGTATAGCTGTAGGCATCCTGTATTACCTCCAACTCTCTAGTTGGCAGGAGCCGGCCCTTAGAAAGTTTGTAAAGCCAGAGGCGTTACATGTCATTAGTTAGTCATGTGATCAATGTGATTGACTGTCAGGGTAATCACATGATTGGAAGTCCACTGCCTCTGGCTCTGGAATATAAACAATGACAAAGAGCTGTCAGTGACAGAGCGGTCACTGTGTTCGGGGCACCTAGTAAGCATGCTTGCAGCACAAACAAGTGATGATGACTATACGTATATATGTGGCAGCTTTGTGCTGAAGCCCACTGCCATGTTGCCACATATACTGTATGTGTACGACTGGCTTTAAGGGGTTAATTAAGTGGGCATTATATATGCACACTGGTGTAGTGGTTATCTTTTTTGCCATGCAGCAACAGGGGCCCCTGGTCCAAATCCTGGCCAAATCACTATCTGCAAGGAGTTTGCATGTTCTCCCTGTGCTTGCATGGGTTTCCTCCGGGTACTCCAGTTTCTTCCCACACTCCAAAGACATGATGGAAGGTTACGCTTTCAATGCATAGGGACCCAAACCGCGCGACAGCCGCCTGAAAATAGCTCCTGTACCTTTTTGTGCAACAGGCGATTTCGTCCACACGACAAACCGCAAAGGTGTGAACAGTCTCCATTGACTTCATTGCGAATCTGTGTTTTGCGCGATATTGCGTGACTTGAAATGTGCGATAAATCGCCTAGTGTGAACCTAGCCTTAATTGGCTCTTGTCTAAATTGGCCCTTGTATGTATGTGAGATAGGGGCCTTAGACTGTAAGCTCCTTGAGGGCAGGGACTGATGTGAATGTATGTATGTGAGATAGGGGCCTTACACTGTAAGCTCCTTGAGGGCAGGGACTGATGTGAATGTGCACTGCGTAAATTGTTGGCGCTATATAAATACCTGTAATAATAAATATATATTTGGAGCATGTTTAGTGTTTTCTTGATAGTGTTAGCGGTTTTCCGATTGATTACAATTGTCTAGGATTTTTTCTTTAAAATCTAGCTGTTAGCAGGCTGGCATGCTCCTCAAAAGCCACTAAATGCACCATCTTAGCAGTGTATGTCTCATGCTTGTGCCCAATGCTGTGCCTTATATTTAAAAAATAAGGGAATCTTTTCCTAGCTAAAGGAACCATATCCCTAAATTGTATTCTTCAAAATATTCCTGATTTTACTGCATTTCCCTGGTATATGTGTTCCCATATTAAACGCACAGCAGAGAACACCCAATGTGAATTGCCCCCTGCTGTGTAAAATCTATATGCAATCTAGGTGAACAAATTAGGATCAGGTAATATCTGTGACATCTGTGACATATGAATCAAACATAATTTTAGAGTGGACCCGTGCCTAGGCCTCTCATGCGCCAGGCATTGTATAGTGGTATGCTCTTTGGGGGCTTCAGGAGGTCTATGGTTCAATAGAATGCTCCATAGAATGTTTTTTTTAGGGGGTTTTTGAATGGCTCTAAAAACACATTATGGGATGATGGTGATACTTTTTGGCATTTGCTGGTGTTCATTATTTTGCCATAAGATTTCTTTATTAAAGGAAACCTCTAAACCTCTACTGGAATTTAGGTGTGCTGCCATCGCTGGTCTCTTTGTATTCAAAATGCTAATCACCAGACTAATTTAATGACCCAAAACAAGCATGCTAGAAAAGTGTTCAAACTTTCCTGGTCCATGCTTGCTCTGAGTGGACAACTAGGGTTAAAAACAGGGACTACTAGGGCAACTAGCATTTTGAAAAGCTGAGCAATGGTTGCCTACACATCCCTTAGTACAGGATTCATTTAATATGTGAATACAAATCTATCACAATACAGCAACGACATCCAACACCTAGAATTATTTCATTTTATAATTTAAGCACTTATATTATTTGTCATATTGAGATACAAATATAATAATCTAGATTCTATAGATTGTAAATGTCCATGTATAAGGATATCTCTGCCATACTACCGGTTTGTATAATCTCAGTGTATGTTAGATTCTACTCTCTGCAGGGGTGCAGCCCTATTGTTTGGTATAATAAAACAATGTTATGGTGTTGTCATACTAATTAAAGTTTTATTTTGTCTCTGTGTTACTAAAGATCATCCAGACTATCAAAGTGAAAGATGCAGATGTTGAGAATGGTGTTTTCTCTATTCAAAGTCCAGCTGCTGCAAATGGGAACTTCACTATACAAGACAACAAAGGTGTGCTCATTAACAGCCCCTATAGAATAGTCTGTTTTCCATTCCTTCTTTACTCCAGCTATATATCGTTTCCCATGCACTCCAATATTTAATCTCTGTTCTCTCTCTTCACTAGATGGAAGCGCGTCTCTTCTGGTGAAGCACAGCGGCTTCTGGAGGTCTCAGAGGGACTTGTTTTTAGTGCCGATAGAAATCACAGACAGTGGGAATCCCCCTCTTAGCAGTACTGATACCCTGACGGTCTCTTTATGTCATTGTGAGGCAGGTGGAACAGTCCTAACCTGTCATATGAACACAGGGTCAGCTGCTGGACTAAGCACTCCCGCTCTGTTGGCCATACTGGCTTGTGCATTTAGTCTTTTGGGTAATTATACCACTATCTCTTCTTTTATTAGTAAAATGTATTTACAACTACTGTTGTCCAGGAAGCACCTCAACACTTATCAAACTAAAATATCCATAGACACTTGCTGATCATTAATATCTATAGGTATATTATTGCTAATATTTTGGACCATCCATTGTGAATATTTAAAGTGCAAACTCTGGGCACAAAAACTTTAACCTAAATATATTCTTCAATGGCAACAGAGAATATAAATCTACTTTGTATGCACCATATGCCTTTGTAAACTCAGATATGACCGAGTAAAAGAAGCAGTGACATCATCACTGTGATGTTCATAGCCTATGCAGTGCAGAGAGTCTGTGCAGAGACAGTCAGCCTGTAGTGGGTCCACCCACTACAGACTGCCTGTAGAAAACTACAGTAGGGGGGTGGAAACAAGACCAGTCACTCTGCATGAAGAGAGGGAGCAGCAGTGACCGGTCTTTATTTACAGGAAGCTCCTGCACAGTGCAAAGTTTCACACTGGATTACTGCACAGATCTGGACGAAATACACAAAGCACATCAGGATGCACATCAAGTAAGAGTGCATATGCTTTTTGTATTTACTTAAAATTTGTTTAGCCCTGGAGTTCGGCTTTAACCCATCATAAAAGCACAAATTATATTTTTAGATACTTTCTCGACTTTCTGTGTCCCCTGGGGAAATTCACCCTCTGTCTATGTTCTGGTGATCATTGTCACTTGTCAGCAAGTGAATGAAAGTTCTAAATGTTAAAGCTGTCACCAGAAAAGGAGGGAACATCTTCCAATGGAGACACCAGTTTTGGAGACAAGTGTCCAAGCTAAAAAGCCACATATCTGTAAGAGAACCTTCTAAAATATCAGGCAGAGTGAGTTGTAGATTTTCCAGCTCTATCCCTACCTTTCCCGTCTGTGTATGAGGAAAAGGAATCAACGTAGTTCTACAGCCCCAGTTGGGATTTTTGGGTATGTGAACTGGGTATAGTGGAAAGGGAAATGTGGTTGTAGACTATTGATGACGTCTGGTGGTAAAGTAACATTCAGACCCTCTGATTTTTGTAGATTTATTTTATATTTGGAAAGGTAGTGATAGGTCTGTAATACTTTGAAAAGTGCTGGGAAACATGTCTTAGGTTGGGTCATATAGAACAGCAAATTGTCTGCATAGGCTGCAAATTTGGGGGTCGTGTTGCCTATAGTCAGGCCGTATATACCTGGGTTAGATCTGCTCCTCTGAAGAAAGGGTTCAAGAGTGAGAGAAAAAGTGGGGAAAGGGGCAACCATTAGTAATAGCAAACATCTGGGAGGGGACACAAGAACTCTCGGCAAATTAAAAAAACCTAACCCTTGCAGTAAGGCTAATTTAGGTGCTCATTTTGTCTAGGAAGCAAAAATTACAGAGATATACTCACCTGAGCTGCGATCCCAGCTGGCTCCTAGACCGGTCCCTTCAGCCTCTCTCCCCCTTTGCTCCATCTGTCTAAGGTCCCGTGAGTCATCACGTCCTATACATAGGATGTGAGGATGCCAAGGGACATTCCATCGCTGGAGCAGAGGATTTTAACCATTCCCTACCCCATCCAAAACATTAGCAAGATATACACTTTAAAGGAAACCTGTACTGAGAGAAATATGCAGACTGTCATGGCTGATCTCCTCTGAAAATGGTAGTTGCCTAGCGTCAGTATTTTCACTGATTTACCAAGAACAAGCATAGATATTACACATTTAGAATTTCTGATCTGCAGACTTGTTCTGTGTCAGTTAAAGGAGAACTATGAGGTGAGTGCTTTTCCCTCACCTCATAGTTCTAGCCGACCTGGGACAATGAGACTGTCACAGGTCGGCTCAGTAGATCGGGAGATGAGCGAACACATACCGGTGTTCGCTCATCTCTCGATCCTGTCACCGCTCTCTGCCGTGACAGGGGAGGGGCTGGATTCCCCCCTCCCCGCTCTGATCCGCCAGCGCTGACTGGCGTATCGGACGGGCGAGGGTACAGCTGGCTCTGCCTCTAGATAGGCGGAGCCAGCTGTCACTCACGCAGCTGGGCAGATCCAGACATAATTGTCGGGATCCGCTTTAGCTGCGGCGTCTCAGTATGCCGCGAGCAGTAGCTCGTGTTATACTGTAGCGTCTCAGTATACCGTGAGCTGCAGCTCGCGGTATACTGAGCTTAGGGTGACGGGAGGACGCTAGGGAGCATTTACAGTAACCAAAATAACACCAGCGAGCAAGTAAAAATTTAAAAGTCACATGACAAATTACTTTCAGCTGAAGGTTACATTACTATCTGAAAATATGTACATGGGAAAACATAATATAGTTTCCTTTTAACATGACACTCCAGTAAAAACGTGTTGCCTGTATCCTCCTTGGGGAAATTCTCTCTCTTTACTTCTCATTCGCCAGGGGCTTTAGACGGCAATAAAATAATGTATTTTTATAGAATAAGGATGGGACAGGTTGGAACCACTGCCAGGTTTTTGCTGTCTTTGTCCTCTTACAAGGAAAAGAAACCTATAAGGGGCAGAGGCAGCAATGATATGTTTTTTAACACATCCCCACACTATCTTAAACTATAAAAAAAATAGTTTTTGATGGAGTTCTTTATTTGATTAAAAAGGCAGAAGGAGGAGTGAAACCTTGTAACACTGACATTAGTGCTGCAAACTCCACTATAGATATCTTAGTAGTAAAAGTGTAGTAAAAGAAATATAAAAATGTAGTGTCGATTCAGCCTGCTGAAATGGGCCATAGTGACTTCCGATTATTTAGACCTCAACAAACAATTGCTCACATTAGAACAAATATAGGTGTCATTTTCTTCACGGAACCTAGTTATGTCTTGTATGTTTTGTCAAGCAAGCAGCTTGTATATTCCATGGTAATTACCCATTACAACATTGACACAGTTCCTATTGCCAGTGTCTAATACTAATGGTAAAACCTCTTGTTTTCTCTTCATCTATAACATATCCATCTCTGAACACAACCCCATCATTATACTTATTTATTTTTTTCTCTCTGCATCATTACATTTTTCCCATCCTACTCATATTCCTCCACCTCAGCCCTAGTGTCCCTCTTCTACTTGCAGCGCAGACACAAGCCATCCCCTATGTCTCTGTGTGAGGATGAGGATATCAGAGAAAACATAATTACTTATGATGATGAAGGTGGAGGAGAACAAGACACTCAAGCTTTTGACATGTCAGCCTTGCAGCCTCCTCAAACAGGCCTCACTGGAGGCTTCTTTCACCCTCCTCGAATGGATGTTCTTCCACGGGTTCCCCGCCAGCCAGCTCACCGGTCACCTCAATCAGCCCCCATTGATGTACAACGGTTTCTGGCCCTCCGCCTAAGAGAAGCAGAACGAGACCCTGTGGCTCCTCCCTATGACTCCATTCAAGTTTACGGCTTTGAGGGAGGAGGATCTTCAGCTGGATCACTCAGCTCACTGACCAGCAGCTCTGAAAGAGCTGGGGAAGATGAACCTATTGGGGACGACATATGGGAATGGGGCCCACATTTCAGGACACTCGCAGAGATCTATGGAGCAAAACGAAGAAACTCGATTTCAGAAGAGTAAAACCATTGAGTGATTGTTAACCGATTTCTTGTGAATGACATGCAGAATGATCATTTACTCTTTTCCATAAAACGGAGCGACATACACTATCAGTGACAACGCCCCTATTCTTCATGGAGACTAGCAGACTTGTATACTAAGACAGGTGGACCCTTTGTTAACTCCTTCCCTGTCAGAGGCCGCCTAAAAAGAGTTACTAGGGGTGTTGTGATGTAACGTTTACAAGATTGCATTCAGTTCTTCCAGTCTTCCCACCGCTTGCCGCGGGAGTATCAGACACAGTCCGACGTGTGCCATTTGTGAAAAACAAACGTTTTATTTTCAAAATAAAATTGTTAAAAGAAGCCATTTATTGTGTGCACTCGGTATGTGAATACAATTTTATGCCTGCTGTTTCATATCTATGTATGGATCCCACATTGAATACAATGGAGTTTTTTTTTCACTGGCCATTGACAGGCAGATGTTTTGTGAATGGCCGGGGGTTCTATAGTTACACATTTTCAGAAAGTAAGAGGAAAATAGGTTTCTTCTTTCTGCTTGAGAGCCTATTCGCACTATATGTTGCATTACCACACCAGTAAACACGTCTATTTTTTTTAGTAAGCTGACAGTGCACCTGGAAGTGTAACTGCACCTTAAATGTAACACTAAAGAGTACTCAGAAGTCCATAGGAATCATTGGGATTGCAGATCGTATGCGTGGGACCGAGCAAGACGGTTTTTGACAAGTGGCCAAAGAGATATCTTGCTGTATTGGGGACAGGTGAGTATGAAACTGAGAAAGGGTGGGGGGTGCTCTGATATGTAAGATGTAGTTACACTTTAGGAGGCCATTTACATTTTTGCACATGTTAATGTGCATCGCAATAAGGCAGACCATTCACTTTGAATCGGCTGTAAATGAACCCCAGCATGTCCAAAATCGAACATGCCCCATTTTTTTGTACGCCAATACCTGTTAACTGATTGCTGTGTGCTGCCATGTCTTGAGGCACTCTACAACTCAGCTGTGTTGGGGTGTCATTTGAAATGAATGGCACCGCATCGCACCATGTGTGTTAATGGACTTTGCAATAATGCATGCGTTACTGCAACACAAAAGTGTGATTCAGCCCTAAAACACAAAATACATATGTGACACTTTTTTCTAAATGCTGCACAGCATGTGCATTGTGTGCATTCTGTTGGTGCATTGCCTACTATTGTAAGGGCCCATTCATACCACCCCTGTCCACTTGTTGCGTGTTAACAGATGGGCAAGGAAGGTCTGTTGGGGTGCCATTCAGAATGGAACCGCAGTGCACCAGTGTGCATTACCATGCGTTGAAGTAACACACCCATTATGGCAGTGATAAGGAGACCCTAATAATGCACCTGGGTGCATTAAAACTAATTGGCACTGCAGGATGCCCCACTGAAATCTGCAAGTTACCACAACGCATAGGTGTTAAAGGGCCCTAAGTAAACTTGTCAAGTGCTACAAAGCACTTAGTATTTAGTTACAGATATAGCCACAGCTATAGGATGGCAGCTACCATTGGTTTCAAGATTCACAATCCCGGACAAATTTTGTCCCCTGAGAGAATTGTTTAAAAACACAATGCATTGATTGGTATTTGAAGTATGGCCAGCAGGCTAAGAAGGACCAAAAAAATTGGGTTTTTAGGGAACAGTTGCCTAGCATAGGGAAAACTGAGCTACACAGGGAAAGATTAAGCTCAATTAGGAAACTGTACTTTAATTCCGATTGCTAATTCTTTGGGGGGATTCAAACTCTCTGATGCCTTTTTTGTTGCTGTTAATTTGTGGTTGATTTGAGGTCAGTGGTCACTTGCAGCTGCCACCCTGTCCATAGCAACATTTTTTATTTTATTTTTTTGCTGTAAGGCTATTGTTTTGGGTATTGACAATCTTTTCATTTATTTTAAGGATCTCTTAATTTTTATTTCATGTTGATAAGTCCCTATTTTATGTTAAACTGTTTTCTTTTTGCTGCAAACCTTCCCCTTTTGAAAAAAAGTGGGCTTTTGTTTCAGAGGTGTTATTTTTTTTTTAATCATATGTTGATAGGGCCTTTTTTAAGTTTGGAGTGTTTAAAGCTGTGCATTCACAATTTATTGTCCATCTATTCTTTAAGCTTTTGTTCTCAGCATGCACTGCATCATTTGACAGGGGAAAAAGTGCAAGAACTGTGTATGCTTTAATCATCTCATATTATATCATATAACATTTAGACACCCCCCAACCCCATAGATAAAATAAAAGTTAGGTGTATACCTGTTAGGTCTATTATCTTTGATTAAACCTGTCCTGCTGATTGACAAGTTTACACTGATTTATCCTCCGCAGTATCTTAAGTCTTGAAGTACAACACCTACATGTAGTACTTACCCCAGCTCTAGTAACTTTTAACTCAGCCTTGCTATTTAAAATTGTCCTGCAGCTAGACAATTTTACAGTGCTGTGTTATTTGCGGTTTCTTAATTCTTGTAGTAAAACATCTACCTGTACTACTTACCTCATCTCTAGTAAATGTCAGTCCAGCCTTGCTATTTAAAATTGTCCTGCAGCTAGCCAATTTTACAGTGCTGCGTTATCTGTGGTCTCTTAATTCTTGTAGTAAAACACTTATCTGTACTCTTTTTCTCTGGTACATTTATACACTTCATCCTTGTTAACATGTCCAACTGCTGGTCAATTTTATACTGCTGTATCATTTGCAGTATCTTAATTCTTAATGAGAGTGTGATAGAAATTGGCCAGCGGCATGACAATTGCATCAGTGAGTACAAGGACAGCCACAGCAAACTACACTCCAATTTCTATCTGCCAGTGAAAGCAGACATTTCCATTTAATGAAAAAGCATGTGTCACTTCTAAAACTACTTTTTTTCTAACTGAAATTAATCAGATTGGGGTGCTGCTGTATTGTTGTATGTATACCAAGCTGATTGTAAAAGAAACAAATCAACTCCATAGCCAAATATGCACTGCCAGTGAACACTGATGCTAAGACTGTCCATGAAAACCGTACTGTTCCATAACACCACTACCATTAGGGCATCCCCCAAGCATGTTATTTATTAATTATTAATTGTTATCGGTACCACAAATCACAAAAACAATTCATATACCTAACACTTAAAACAATACATATATTATCCTAGTCATATCATTGCATCCACATATATACTACCATATAACGTAAAACAACTCGTATTACTAAAATCTTTCATCCTCACACCCCCCTCCCCCCCTAAAACAAACTAACAGACAAATCCACAGAGGTATAATAAATAGATCTAATAAAAGGAGTTTCACTTAGCAGATCAGAGTCTTGGTACTATTTCCCATTTTCCTACCCTTTCCTTTTCCCTCTGCTTCACCCTTCTCCTCCTCTACCACTTCTTCTCTCCCCCTCTTCACCATGTCCCCTATAAATATCTAAGGATCTCTAATGAACTCATATAATCCATCCAAGGGCTCCACCTCTCCATAAATAGCGTATGTCTATCATATAGACGATCTGTAAGCTCTTCAAATCGCATTACCATATTTAATTCCTCTACCCATTTTAGCATTTTCAGTGTTGCCCTCAAAACCACATGAAAAGACCCTCTCCCCGCTGTATGGTGTTTTTAAAAAAAAAAATGTTTTGCATTAGTGTATGTCCCCCATGGCAATGTTCAGCTTCCAATGCCTTTTTGACAGAAGTTTGACTATTATTCCTAAAAATGGCCAAAGTTTAAGATTGCCCCCATAGACTTCAATGGGATTTGACTCTAAGTTCAGGTTTGCCGAATTTTTAACAAGATTCGCCGAACCCTGGCGAATCAAATCTGGGTAGATTCAGGCATCACTATAACACTGATCCAGAACAAGAATGCCGATCAGATGTTTGGACTTTACATGCTGCAACCACTATAGTTAGTGTATTTTCACAACTGACCGCTCATATTTCCATTGCTTCATACAGTAAATTGCTTGTAGACTCACTCTAAAGGTGGCCATACACTGTGCGGTTCTTGAGGAACCGGTTGAAATTTGCACAGTGGGTGCCACTGTCGGCACCCTTTCAGCTGGTATCCCTCGATCAGCTGATAGAATCTTGAGCAGCTTTGTGCTCAATCATAATCCAGCTTTCATTTTCAAAAGCTTAACTGAACAAGGTTAAGATAGAAGCTGATTAGTTACTATGCCTAGCTGCTCCAGTTTTAGTAAATCCCCCCACCCCCCCCCCCCCCACACACACACACAGTTTTTACTGCAGTTGTTTTGTGATTTCACGCATATTACTAATTAATCAGTATCCAGTTCGGTTTTCATGGCCATAGAACATTTTACCGGACAGAGAATGTGGGACACATCAAGCTGCTACCTATGCTGCAGATAGCATTCAGGCCCCTGATATAGCTATCATATATCATCTGATGATGGCATTAAATTAACAGCACATTTTCCCTTTCTCTGGAGACATGAATGCATGCGCTCCCTCGGTATCTACCTTACTCCTAAGACGTCAAATCTCTACACTCACAACTATATCCCCTTACTCAATTCAGTAAAACTTGACCTCAATTCATACTCTACCCGAACCATGTCCTGGCTGGGTAGGATAAACACCCTCAAAATGATGATTCTCCCTAAGATCTTATTCTACTTCCAAATGCTACCTATCTCTCTCCCCACAACGTACTTTACCACATTACGATCCCTACTATCCAAATTTATTTGGCAACGCAGGAAACCTAGGATAGCCTATTCCATTCTCTCTAGACACAAACGGGCTGGGGGCTTCAACGTACCTGACTTTAAACATTATCACAAAGCAACTCAATTAGTTAGGCTCCTAGACTGGACGTTCAATGCCTCCCATAAAGGATGGGTGATATTGGAAGTAGACTTGAGTAATACCCACCTCTCAGAATGTATCTGGACTCCACCATATACGCGGACACTGTCCCCTCTGACTTCCCCCCTCACGCTCGCCACACTTACAACATGGGATCGCTTACATAAAGCTCATGACTGGCCATACAATTCAGTTTTATTACCATTAACGGGCACGGATTTCTTCCCTCCCGGAAATAATGACCCCCTCTTTT